GGGGGCATGATGTAAATACATACAAGTTATCAAGTTTATTAGACAATAAGGATAAAAAAAGAAAGAATAATATTACCATTAATACATGTACTAACAATCATAATAATGAATCTACTAACAATCATAATAATGAATCTAAACAAAATCCCCCATCTGCTAAACGCATACGCAGACAAACAAGTAGTAATGCGAAAGAAATTCTTTCACAATTGCTTCCTTGTACTTCTTTTTCAGATGATGATCAATTGTTATATAAGGCTCTTCATGATCTTCAAGATATTGAAACAGGTTGGACAAAAGAACGTGTTCTTACATACTGGAGAAATCATAAAAATTAACAAATTAATTTCATATCGATATATGAATTTTATTCAAATTATTATAAATCTCAATTCATTGTAAAAAGATAAATAAATAAATAAATCAAATAAAATACCTATTTCCACATTCGAAGTGGCAGTGGTTTGTTCTACTTCAAACGAAAGATCTTTTTCGGTTCTCAGCTTGTTAAAGTTAGGTTTTTTATTAAAAAATAGAGGCTTGGTGAGCTATAAACATTATAACATAAAGCTCAATTACCGTAGCGAACTGACCAAAGTACACCTATTTTCAGTACCCCCAGTTAAAATACCCGGGTATTTTACATGGCATATTTTTTTTAACCAGGGATAATACCCGGGTACTTTGCATAGTATTTTTCACTCCACCACATATCGATATTGATTTCTGCATCACATATATATGTCCGTACAAAATATCCCCCATATAATATACCCCATATAATATACCCGTCACCGGTCAAGATATCCACGGGTATTTTCTAAGTTATTTTTTGATTAGATTGTATTAGACTTTGGTCAGTGCACTACGGTAGTTATAATATGCAATACTAACATGAAGTAAAAGTTGCATTTCGCTTAATTTCAATAACGTAAAATCTAACATACAAATCTTATAGTAAAGCATGTTGAACAAAATTTAAGAGACATTTCCTCTAATCAATAAGATCAAAAATGAATTGCGCGTTAAAGTTGTCTAAGATCACCAATTCTCCATAAAATATACCTATATTATATAAAAAAAAGAAGTCAATTGATACGAAATTACAAAAACATTTAATTTATATACAACTTACTTGATGAAAATTCCAAATTGTTGGATTGGAATGTTTGATTTTAAATGAATCATTCTCATGTTGGTCAAATCTCTGACAATATTCTTTCAAAAATCTTCAATGCTTCATCAAGAGCAAATAAATCTTTCAGTTTAATGTTTTCGCTTATACGAATCCCTATACT